CTCGAGTCACTTGACCCCAGTTGTCTTCCTGCCTAGAGTCGGGGGGCTGAACCCGATGATCTGCAATATCCATTCCAGCCCCTAACAATCTATGCATCTATGAATATACAGCCACAGCAAACAGCTGCACAGGACTGCTGAGATGCTGCAGCTGAGTTTTGAAACAAAAGCCTTTGCCAACAGTTGTGCTGCTGCCCTTCATTAAGCAATCTGCTGTGAATTAAACTGGCTGCACACTATTCTGATATAAATTATCCAAGTTCTATTGTAGTAGAAGGACCAAGTTTTACTGTAATAGAAGGAGCTGACCCTCCAACTGATTTCCTTTGCCCTTTGGAGTAAAACAGTAGCAGTAAAGCAGTAGCTGTTTTTTATGACTATTAAAATGATTATCTAGAAATAGTGAATGATCAGAAAAAGCTCACATTCTAAATGAAAAGGTCTCAAAAGGCATGTCTATCTGTGCTGATTTAATGTGCTTTAGCCCAATTTAAGGCGCATTAAGGATGCACATCCACACATGCACACCTTTAATGCACCTTAAAAAAAGGCGATTTTAGGCTATTTGCACATTAATGCCCATGTAGACATGTTAAGGCACATTAACACTGTGTATGGACTGACTTGGGACTAACTTTAGTCCCAGATCAGTCCACACACACAGCATTAATACGTTTTAATATATTAATATATATATATTGTGCACGTGTATACACAAGCCTGAATTGCCTTAATGCGCATACAGCAGGCAGACAGGCAGGCAGGGGGAGAGGTGTCCTTGGAGGGATCCTGGTACTGCCCCGCTCTGTGATGCAACAATGGGGAGAACACAGGGCATTTGGAGGCAGGCACTGGACCTGGGGACACCTGCTGAGTGGCTTTTCCTCCTACCAGGGCCACACCCGGGTCCAGGCCTGGTGCAGGGTGGGTGTCCCCAGGGCAGAGGAAGGAGGTGGCACTGATCAGGAGACAAGCGGGGATCCCATTCTGCCAATCCCCACTGCTGACTCCACCTTAGGCACTCTCACTCACCTCCAGGTAGCCACAGCCACCGCTGGGAAAGTTGCTGGTGCTTGCCCGCAGAGTTAACAGGTGCTGCAACTACCTGATCACAGCCCCCTCTTTCAGACCAGCCAGGCCAGCTGCTGTGAGCAGCGGTGGGGCTCGGCATAGCTGGGAGCAACAGCAGTAGCAGCAGGTATCCCTGGAGGAGCCAGCCGGCCCCTATGGGATCTAAGCCAGCTTGCACCTGGCCGCCCGGCAGCTCCTCTGCCGCCATGGGGCTGTCCCAGATGAGCAATGCACCCAGGCACAGTGCCTGAAGCTGCTACATGGGGCCCAGGGGTAGTAGCCAGGGCATTACAAGCAGGGAAATGGCCCCAGCCAGGCCAGGCCCAGGGAGACTTCAGGGCCATTTCTCTGTTTGCAGTGCCCTGGCTGCTGGCCCTGGGCCCTGCGCAGCTATTCTGGGTGCTGTGCCTGGTTGCGCAGCTTGGCTAGGGCAGCCCTGCAGCAGCAGTGGAGCTGCTGGGCAGCCAAGTGCAGGCTGGCCCAGGTGTTGTGGGGGTTGGCTGGCTCCTCCTGGGGGACTTGCCACTGTTGCTACGCCTGGTCATGCTGAGCCCTGCTGCTGCTTGCAGTGGCTGGCCCAGCTGGTCTGAAAGAGGAGGCTGCAATCAGGCAGCTGTAGCGCCTGGTAACTCTGCAGGCAAGCACTGGCAACTTCCCTAGCAGTGTCTGTGACTCCCCAGAGATGGGTGAGAGTGACTCAGGCAAAGTCATCACTGGAGACTGTGGGAGAGGGATCCCTGCTTGTCTCCTGATCAGTGCCACAGCCTTCCCCTGCCCCAGCAAGAGGAGAAGCCTCTCTGCAGATGTCCCTAGGTCTGGCACCCACTTCTGAATGCCCCATGTTCTCCCCATTGTTGCATCACAGAGATCAGGCAGCTGCCGCCCCGCGGCAGGCACCCCCAAAGAGACAGTGGCCCAGCAGCAAGGAGTCCCCACCTCCTCCCTGTCCAGGGTGCTGGTCAGGGCCCTCTCTCCCTCTGTCCCTTTAAAATACATGAGTTGGGGGGCCTGAGGGGAAGGGCCCGGACCCCTGCTTGTGGTTGTGGGAAGCCCACTGGGAGGGAAGGCAGAGATCAAGGGCTGTGCAACACCAGGCCCTGCTTCACTTCATGGGTATGGGGAGGGGGGGGGGTGTGTGTGTGTGTCTGAGACAGAGAGAGAGAGACAGAGGGAGAGAGAGACAGAGAGACCCTTGGCTTCATGCAGCCCCAGCATGGAGGTGACTGTCCTGGCAGGGAAACGGGCCCCAGATCTTTCCCACTCTTCTGTCTGCAGAAGACCGGGGACCTGAAATGCTCCATTCTTGGAGGAGCAGCGCAGGGGGTTCCTCTCTGGATCAGGTCACAGAATCCTAGCGGAGTGGGGCTGGGAGGGACCTGCAGGGGTCACTTCTAGCCCAGCCCTTGCCTGAGGCAGGAGCATCCCTGTCCAGACCATCCTGTATACACCCATACTTTAAACTCTACATAAGATGACAGGCAGCCCTGACACAAGGTTCCCCTGTCTCAGCTGCTCGAGTGGTGAGCCGGGCAGGGAAAAGCCAGGCAGACCCTGGCTGGGCACCCTGCAGGCCAGGGTGAGGTTTAAACCCCGCCCCAATCACACTCAGAGGCCTTCCAGGGCTTGGCCCCACCCCTGCCCTGGATCAGCTTCCCTCCAGTCTTGCAGCTGCTGCAGAAGGGAAGGGAGCACCCCCTGGGTTCTAGCCTGAGCCTGCAGGCATGTGGCTGCATTTCCTTGCTTTCGAGCTCAATCTACACAGGTTAGACTAACCTGCAAAGATTGAATTGATTCAGGCTTGGGCTTTTTGAATGGCTGTACTTAGCCGAGGAGTCAGTTGCCTGTGAAAAAGGGACTGCTCCAGTGAAGTGTTGAACTCCTCAGTTCCTACTGACAGCTATGGGAGGTAGGGTGCCACCTACCAAGACCCAAGAACAGAAATGTAGGAATTGTCCTGGACTGCAGGATAAAATGTTGGAACAATAGGAATAGTTCAGTGCCATTCTGTACACTCCCAAATCTGAATAGCAGCACCTTTGTGTTTTCTTTTAGTTTATCTAAAATACCTGGAGCTGAATAACAGGGATGGAAATCCTACAGAGCAGAATCTCCACTATGACCCAGGTGACACACAACGGGGCTGGCAGGCAAAGCACCTGAATTCTACCTCCAGCCTGCTCTTGAACACTGTGAAGCTGTGAACAAGCAAACCACCTCCCTGTGCCTCAGCACCCACCTGTTGCATGGGAGTGATTCTCCTTGCTCAATTTTGTAGAGTGCTTTTTTTTGACAGATAGAAAGTAGAATGTAAAATATTTTCCCTGTTAATTTCTGGTCAGCATGGAAGTGCAAGTAGGCAAAAATGGAGAATAATGGGAAAAACTAACCAAATATATCTAAACCTGTAACACAGTCTGATTCAGATTTTCAACTATGGTGCAGGTAGGCTCTTTTTTCTCATCACTACTTGAAAGTGTATTTTGAAAAAAATCATTATTTTGCATGTTTGTGTTAAATGAGGATCTCTGAATCTAAAATCTCTTTTGAGGTATAGCTGTCTTTCTGCATTTCTGCAACTTACTATTTCTGGAAATACTGCAGCTCCTAACAAACCGTAAAAAGGAACAACAAACATGCTACAAATGGGGGAAGAGATTATGGATTTCAAGCAGATTTACTCTTCAGACTCCAAATGTGCAACTACAATTAGTAACAGATAATAAAGGGACTTGGGAAAAGATACTACAAAGGGAGGCAGAAGCCCTTTAACTGAGCTACCCACTCTCTCTGTAAAGCATGGAGATTCACAGCAGGCTATAAGACAGGAGCACAGCACACATCTCCAGGTGTACTTAGATTAGGGAATATACAGGTCTGTTTGGATTTTTCATTAGTGGATCAAGCGGGATGATTTGTGGAGTGCCTTGTTTATTCATGGTTTTACTCATTCTGACTGGGAACTGTGTTACTAGGGAAGATTCTTCAAGGGAGAGAAGACTATGAATCATTGAACAGGGTTTATGTGTATTCTCATTAAGAGACAATTGGTGATTTGACAGTTTTATTGCAGCTATATGATCCAGGAGAGAACTGGGAGGGCTTAGGGGTGACGGGACTCTGCAGTCCTAGTGACAGAGCCATTGTCAGGCAAAATTGTGCAGTAAAGTGCAATACCGGTTTTTCTCCTGGTTTCCAAAGTTGGGATGGTTTTAATTTCCTCAACTCTGAAGGGCCACATACAACTCTGAAAACCTCACAGAGTGTAAGGTAAGTGCAAGCCACTATCTTCATTTACACAGGGAAAAGTAACTGTGGGAAACCAGAATTTTAAAATTTATGCCACAATTTTGCAAAATGATCGCACTTCATTTATACCCAGCTGATCAATACACCACATGAGAGTAATCATCTGACAGCACAAAGGCAAAGCTGTGTAAAAGGCTAAGAAGTCTGAGGGTCATGACTCTCTCCCTCCCTTTGCCTCTTCATTCTTGTCTCCACCTCCTCTACTCTGTGATTGCCTCCTGGGTTGGTAGTGCTGGGTCAGCCCAATCCTATGGACTGTTAGCTAGTTGCCTGGGGATTTCTATCAGAATAGGGAAAGGACTCTTCAATTCCCCCTCCCCTTCCTCTCCTCTCAAAGGCAGTCTGTTCTGCAGAGGGAAAGCTCTCATCTGTAGCTGCATTCGTTCTCATGAGTGTCATAGATCAGCTATAGGGAACCTGCTTTTTAAACTGTTCTAATGAAATGGGATCTGAAAGGGACTTGCCAATCTGGTAATTAGACATGTAAGGAAGAAAGTCCAGGAACCTTGGAGCGAAGAAAGTGTGAGGCTGTAACTATATGGAAAATGTGCTATGGAATTATACATCATACATTCCCTGTTGTGTTCAAGTTTTTGCAGGGGAGAACGGAGAAAATGTGCTGAATGCAGTTGCCCAGCAGAAACAGCTCCAAGCTGGTGAAGATGGAGAATGGCACAGTGGATGAACAGAACCAAACTGGGCTGCTGCCAAGTCAAGAAATTATCACTACTGAATACCAAGTGGTTACCATCCTCTTGGTCCTCTTCATCTGTGGACTTGGCATAGTGGGCAATGTCATGGTGGTGTTGGTAGTTCTCAGGACTAAACACATGAGGACTCCTACTAACTGCTACCTGGTGAGTCTCGCTGTGGCTGATCTCATGGTGCTGATGGCTGCAGGACTACCCAACATTACTGAGAGCCTCTATGGATCTTGGGTCTATGGTTATGCAGGATGCCTCTGCATTACTTACCTCCAGTACCTAGGCATCAATGCTTCTTCTTGCTCCATCACGGCTTTCACCATTGAGAGATACATAGCCATCTGCCACCCAATCAAAGCCCAATTCCTATGTACTTTTTCAAGAGCCAAAAAGATCATTATTTTTGTCTGGGCTTTCACCTCCATATACTGTATGCTCTGGTTTTTCCTTCTAGATCTCAACACTGTAGTCTACAAAGATACCATTGTTGTGTCCTGTGGCTACAAGGTGTCCAGAAGCTACTACTCCCCTATATATATGATGGATTTTGGTATATTTTATGTTGTGCCAATGATACTGGCCACTGTCCTCTATGGTCTGATTGCAAGAATATTATTCCTGAATCCCATCCCTTCAGATCCAAAAGAAAATTCTAAGACATGGAGAAACAACTCAACTCACCAAAGCAAGAATGTGAACTCCAAGACAACAAACAGGTGCTTCAATAGCACTATTGCTTCTAGAAGACAGGTAGGAAACTCAAAGAAATAGCTTTTTGAAACCTAAATAACACTGCTTTAGGGATCCTCTAGATGTGTAAAAAAGTATAAAATGTACTATTTTTTTGTGAAGCTAGATGATATAAATATGATAAATACTTATAAAACATAGAGAAGCACTCTCAAACATATATATCACTTCTTTAGATTTTATGTAGAAAAATGATAAAAGTAGAGTTGATTAAAATAAGGAAATATTCTTAGAGCATTTTATGTAGTTTAAAGACATGCAGAAAATCTTAAAATCTACCCATTCACAGCATTCAATTAGAACATTTTACTAAGTATATTGAACCTATGGATGATCTATAAACTACTGCCTACTCTAGGCATATACAGGATATATGTGTTGAGAGATAACTGAGTGTCTTATTTTGATGTTCCAAGAAGCCAGCTATATATATATATATATATATATATATATATATATATATATACTGTCAACATGAGGATTTAAATGTGAAGAAAAAAATGCCTTTCCCCTCAAATGCACTCTGCTAATAATGCAGGCAAATATACCAGGTAATTCCTGAGTTATTTCTGTGATCTATAAATAGGAAACAAAACTGGAAATTCTTGAGACCTGAGTTTTGATGTCTTTCCTAGACTGTAGGAAAATTACTACCTTGTATATCTCGGTTTCCCCAGCTATGAAATATAGATAAGTAACTTGTGGTTGTAGAAGTCTGGAAATAGAAAGTGTTAAATGAACTCTAAAGTATCAGTATCACTATTATTCCATCTGTTGGGTAATTCATTGTCACCAAAGATATTAAATGATGATGCTTCAAAGTGGATAACAGATTTGATCAGATTAATTATAACTTGATACATATGCCAACATAGTTTAGAGGTACATATCTGTACCAACAGATTTCACAATACTAACTAATATTATACTTGACACTGAGAGCAGTTCACACTTTTTTAAGATCCAGTCCTGAGAGGGCACCATTAGCCAACTGACCTCTCAGGGCCATGCCCAGGTCCATAATGTACTAAAATTTTCATTTAAGTGTGAGCACCTATTTCCACCTCCCCCCCACCCTTGCCGACTACCTTAGAATCTTCTGCATCAGGCTCTTGGTCTTCTGGCAAGTTCAAAAGGAAGCCTAATTCCTGTAAATATAATGTTTGAAGTTGTCATCAATTTTGAAATGCTCAGTACAGCGAGGGGAGGATGGGGTGTGCAGAGGGATAGGTGTAGGGTATGATCAAAACCTATAAAGGATGAGTAAGATGTTAGTACTTCCTAGTGTAAATTGTTACAGTTTAATGAGACTGGTTGTTTTTCCTGCTGTGAGCACTGCATTCACCTCACAAGCTAATTGATCAGCAGGACATTCAACATGAGCAGATCAAGAGATCTCGTGTTTAGAAATATACAAACTGTTTGCATGTTTGTTATTTGTATTTGGTTTTATGTCTCCCTTTCTACTTCCCTCTTTGAGCTAGAAGTGTTTGCATTGGTTTTGTAACATTAATGAGATTTTTTCCTCCTAGTTAATTTTCAATTTTCAAGCCTTTAATAAGACAGCTCTGTGTGCTTGGTGATGAGTACTTTATATTGGTTAGCATCCTTTGAAAAACTGGAACCATCTTTTTATTTAGGGTTTTACTTAATGTTTCAGACAGGGGTTATTGCTGTGTTATAAAACTAAAATGCAATGTACAATATGTATTTTGTGTTTTATAAAAATTGAAAAGATTCTTCATAGAGCCACTAAACTGGATGGATTATCATTGCTGCATTTTTAGTAAAACTAGTGTTTGCATACATGGGGCGGGGACATGAAGGCATGCCATTATTACTGAAATGTCTAATATGATCTATATTATGGCAGCATCCAAAATGTGCTTAGTGCTACAAAATCAAATGGAAAAACATAGTGCCCCCAAGGAGTTTGCCTGCTAAGGGCGCACACAAATGTGACATTTCAGCCAGTGGAATCACAGTTCCACTGACAGAAATGCTCTGTGGACAAGCATTCACAGCACTTCAACAGTTTAAAAAATGGCCCATGTGGTGGAGATTTCCATCACACTGGATGTGGCTGAAGTGCCAATAACTGGGGTATACATGTTTGAAGGAGAGTTTGCACACAACCCGAACTGACTGGGGATGCAGCAATGCCCTTTGGCATCCCAGTGCGCCCTGCTCCCACCTCTTTCCCCTCCCCTCCAGGGAGATGCTTTATGACTGACTGTGGGCTAATGCTGCAACTGGAGTGAAAGAGAGCCCCTCCCCTGACAGCTCAGGGGCTTTTCCCTGCCCCTCTCCACAGCTCAAACCGTCAACCCCCAGCCGCTGATGGCAGGAGAAAGCCACCCACCAGCACCAGACCCTAGCCTGCCCTTATCCCAATTCTCTCTGAACTTCCTTAACCATCCCGACACTCAGACCCTGGCCCACCCCCAATCCTGCT